CATATCCTATTAGGGTATGCGGCTAGGTTTTATTTTTTACTGAGCACAAATATCTGTTAAATTACTTTGTGTTTATACTTCTATAAATTTCACAATCATATCCCTGCTTTTTAGTGTAGGATCGAGGGACCATTCTCAATAGGCATACACTGCCTTATTTGCTATGCACAGATCATGGTTATATGATCCAAAATGGCCTGGCATCTGTCAAACGTTTACAGTAGGGACCAGGCTCAGTTAATGAAGGACAACCAATTTTAGATGGAAATGTGCCCTGTTGCCTTGTGTTGCTTTGGCTTGTACATACTTAAAATTCATGTAACACACAGAGGTGGGACCTTTTATATTTTTTATAAAATACTGTTGGTGTGAAATGTAGTTATATATATATACGGTTGATATACAGGAAATTTTGTTTACAAACAAAGAAAAACAAACAAACAGAAATAAATGTAGTGGATTTCCTTTTTTAATTCCATTGATATATTTGTATTATATGTATCAGAAAGACAAAGTGATATAGCTGTATTTCCATTGCGGTACCCTCCTCAACCTGTTGCATTGAAAAAAATCACAATACCCAGACTCCTGTATAAAATTCACACAATACACAGAAATAGCTCTCAGATCTATGCATGTGCCAGCAATTGCCTGAATATTTAAACCCATTGAGCGTGTGAACAATGAAACCTGCAGTTGGCTTATTTGCAATTAAAATCAAAGAATCACTCACAGATTGAGTTTTTACTCATAATCCCTTCAACTAGTTTTGATCACTGAGGCAAGGTGATTAATTTTCAGTACATGCATAGAGTTTCAAACATATTGCTGAGCATAGCATTGAACTGTGTCTTTATATTATGGCAGTTATCCATTCATCATGAAAATCACATTATTTTAAAACTTTTCCCACTTAGATACAGAACTAAAATACTACTTACAACTCCTGATGATAAATTGATATATATAATTTAACTTGTTGTATTCAACACATTTCTAGTCACAAATGAAATAATCAATCAGAGTTAAATAACATTCTTTAAAATTTGATTGTAATCTCCATAGCTGGGAAGACCAGAGACTACACTGCTGATAAATAACTACTGTTTTAAAAGCACAATCTAGACTAATGCAAAGACATGCAACACGTTCAACAAAGGTTATATAGCTTTACCTCGGCAGACCTTAGTTTTGTTATCTACTTCCTCTAGCATGTAAGCTCATTGAGCAGGGCCCTCAACCCCTCTGTTCCTGTGTGTCCAACTTGTCTGGTTACAATTACATGTTTGTTTGTCCACCCACTGTAAAGCACTGCAGAATTTGTTGGCTCTATATAAATATTAACATAATAATAATAATAATAATAATAATAATAATATTCCTTCTCTAATTCTTTGGAGCTTTAGCATTCCAATTAACCCACCCTTGACCTCAGTAGCCTCAAACCTTCTTCAATAGCTTCCTCCCTTGGGCTATCCCAGTGGGCTAATTCTCCCACACATATAGTTGGCAATAGCTTTAATCTTATTTTTTAGATGCATGCACAGTCTCCAATCTCTGTAACATTCCATTTCCTCTGTCAGATCACCACTTCTTATCTTTTGTTCTTAGAAGCCCCTCACCCAACATTATCAGCCTAACCCTCTCTTGACTTTCAGCAACTGATGTCCATTCTCAACTCTTATCTATCCCTACCTTCTATCTCTGGCTATCTCCTCATATAACATGGCCCTCATTGCTGCCCTGGATTCTGCAGCACTGCTAAAAAACATAAACCTCAAGGATGATGCGCTTCCAACCGTGGCACAGTAAGTCAACCCACTACCTGCTAAGTCAACCCACTCCTGTTCAGCGGCTTTCTTCTTGCCCCACCCCTTGTCCACTTGATTCTGCCTTATCTCTCTCCTCCTGTCTTATTTCATCCTTAACGCATATATTCAACTGCTCTCTTTCTCATGGCGTAGTCCCCGCTTCCCTTAAACTTGCTACTATCATAACTGTCCTTGAAACTCCATCAGCTGAACCATCTTACCTTATCAACTATCGTCCCATTTCCCGGCTCCCTTTCTCCTCAAAGAACAACTTTTTTAAAATGTCTGGATTGCTTTCTCAATTCCAACTCTCTCCTTAACCCTCTTCAATCTGACTTCTGCCCTTTCAATCTACTGAGACTGCTCTGATTAAAGTAACTAACGATCTAATTACGACTATACCCAAAGGCCACTACTCTCTACCAATTCTTCTTGACCTCTCTGCTGCCTTTGAAACTGTTGATCATTTCCTCCTTCTTCAAAATCTTCAATCACTCGGTCTCTGTTACACTGTCCTATCATGGTTCTCCTCCTATCTCTCCTAATGTTCTTTCAGTGTCTCCTTTTCTAATAAAACCATCTCCAATAATCCTGTCTCATTTGGATTCCCCCAAACCTGTTTTTGGTGCCATTTTGTTTTTCTCTTTACACTGACAAATAGTTTCTGGTAAAAAGTCCTCCATGCGTTAGGCTGCTAAGTCCTCCATGTGTTTAGACTTAAACTGAAAGACTCACAGCTATAATTACTTCAATAAGAATTTTTTTTTTGTTTAATGTTATTGTGAAATGAACAAAGAAAATACATTTTCAATGTGCTAGATATGAAATGTAAAACAAATGGCAAAAATATAAATAAAATATTTTTCAATTTCAGTTTTTGACATAACAAATGTCGAAACATCCCAGGGGAGTAAACACCATAAATAAAGGGTTTTTTTTTTCAGAAAATATACTGCTAGTATTCCATAAAGGAAAGTATTTATATTGTTTTATAATTTATGTTTTTCTACACGCCACTTCTTCATGTAGTTCTGTGGGCTGAAATTCTCAGTTCTCCAAATACCTGATTCTCCCAATCAGTAAACTCTCCAGCATGCCTCTAAATAATAGCTGAGAATGTATTTTCTGTTACCTGGCTGTAGCTAGTTTGATTATAGATTGCAATGCCAACATTCTTTATAAATGATTCAGAACAACACTTAAAAGCAGAAAAAGCAAGCTCCAGTTCATTTTCCTGTATCTGGAATTTAACACCAGTCTCCTTTTTTCCCCCCCTCTGTTTGTTGTTGGATACAAGTCTATTTTTCTTTGGAATTCAAATGTCTGCTCTGTTAAACGTTTATTGTTACATATAAGAAACATACAGGACGTAAAAAATAGTCAAAAGCAAATATGTGAATTGTAAAAAATGGAAACAATTTGGAAAATGGAGAAGGTGTGATAAAATTTAAATCTAAGTAGAGATACGAGTCATTCCTTCATTATTTGACCTTGTAATATATAGGCCGATAGGTCCATCAGGCAATTCCTGGTTTATAATTAGAGCTGTTCAGAGTTACTGTGAATTTAGCTGTTTCTTTGTACAACTAAATACTGACATATAAACTATTTACTCCATAGTTACTTGGGGTAGTGGGTGGGGCTAATAAAATCTGATTGAGCCATATCGTTGAGGTCTATTTATCAAAAAACAAGGCATTGTGGTGAGTTGGCAATAAATGTAAAATTCTAGTTCAAATTAGTGGGAAAGGCAGGAGAAAAATATCCCCAGTTCGTTAGAGTTTGACAATGTCTCCAACCCTTATTTTGGCAAACGTTTGTAAATTACCGACACTTGCTGTTTATTGAATTAACCTCCATTTTGCTAAACATTTGTAATATGTGTTCTGCTGTCCGTGAGCTTTTCCTAGAGCTGCAACTCCAACATCTCTTTGGAGATACTTGGGAGAGATTCAGAGATACTGGAGTGTTAATGTTAGAACTTTTCTAAGTTCTACGTTCTATTTTGGAGATTTTTTTTTAGGTAGGTTGTCAGGTATAATTTAATCAGGATTTTTGCAGCAGCCATATTTTAAAAGGTTTTTTTTTTTTTATTTAAAATCTTATTCCCATGTATTTTGTAAAGAAACCTTATGATTATTTTTTACAATATAAATTTGTTTTATAAAATGAAAAATTCTTTATAGACAATAATAATAATAATATTGGCTTGTGTCCTAGTTTGCGCAAATGGTATGATATTGACTAAGGGTAATAGTTCTGATACTTTGTATTATCCTCCTTAGTAAAGGAGCACTGTGAATGATAACTCTATGTTATCAGATGCCTGGAAGAGGTTAAAATGAACAGCTGGATACTTACTAATATACTACACAGCCTGGCAGTCTGAGAACCAACCTTGAACCATTTACATTCAGGACTAAGGTAAGCCTGTTTATTTTTCTCACATCTACAGTCAAATACCTGTAACACGGAATTGAGTTTAGTGGGGGAGGTGATTTGACAACTGCCTCTATTAATATGTATTTACTTTTAGATTGTAAGCTCCTTTGGGCAGGGCCCTCTTCACCTACTGTTCCTGTATGACAAACAGGTTTTGTTAGAATTGTTTGTCTTGTTGTACCTGTTGTACAGCACTGTAGATTATGTTGGTGCTACATACACAAATTGTTAATTGAAAAAGTCCAGCCATTGTTAAAGGGACACTATAGTCACCTGAACAACTTTAGCTTAATGAAGCAGATTTGGTCTATAGAACATGCCCCTGCAGCCTCACTGCTCAATCCTCTGCCATTTAGGAGTTAAATCCCTTTCTTTATGAACCCTAGTCACACCTCCCTGCATGTGACTTGCACAGCCTTCCATAAACACTTCCTGTAAAAAGAGCCCTATTTAGGCTTTCTTTATTGCAAGTTCTGTTTAATTAAGATTTTCTTATCCCCTGCTATGTTAATAGCTTGCTAGACCCTGCAAGAGCCTCCTGTATGTGATTAAAGTTCAATTTAGAGATTGAGATACAATTATTTAAGGTAAATTACATCTGTTTGAAAGTGAAACCAGTTTTTTTTTTCATGCAGGCTCTGTCAATCATAGCCCGGGTAGGTGTGGCTAGGGTTGCATAAACAGAAACAAAGTGATTTAAATCCTAAATGACAGTGAATTGAGCAGTGAAATTGCAGGGGAATGATCTATACACTAAAACTGCTTTATTTAGCTAAAGTAATTTAGGTGACTATAGTGTTCCTTTAATATAACAAGAACGGTTTGTGCGACATCGATGTAACCTGGCAGCCAAGGAGAATGGACTGGAATGCGCATGCGTGAACAATGACGACTTTACCGTACTAGTCAGTGGGGCTGCTAGACGTCATTGAGTGAGTATGTGTACCTTGTGGCCGTAGCAATCAAAATGACTGAGCGAATAGAGCACCAAATCTGCATCAAATATTGCGTTAAGCTTGAACGTTCCACCTCGGAAACGTTTGAGATGCTTCAGAAGGTTTTTGGAGACGATGCAATGAGTGCAGAGCAAATAAAATTGTGGCACAAATGCTTCAAAGATGGTCAAGAATCTGTTGAAAGATTTGTCTCCCTGTGACTTTTGTTTTTTCCCAAAGCTAAGATTTCCGACCATCGACGAGATTCAGATAAATACAACGAGGCAGCTGATGGCGATTCCAACAAAGGATTTTGCAGTGTTTTGAACAGTGTTGAACTGTGTAAGGTCCCAAGGTTCCTACTTTGAAGGGGATTTAGGCGTCATTATCCTATGTCCAATATTTCTTGTATGGTCTTCAATAAATGTCTCTATTTTTCATATTACATGGCTGCATATATTTTTTAATTTCTATCGTTGACTTTTCTTTGAAGCACCTTTTTGTTTCTGATTGCTGCATCCACCTTATGAATCTCAGCAAGCTCATTGTTTAATCACCTATGTTACATAATTATGAAGACAGGATGCAACTATGACACACATCAAAGAAACGAGACAAACTTACATTTTACGGAAATTGTCACTAAACTTATGGTTTGTTGATTGCACAGCTATTTGATTAATACAATAGTTCCCCTAGGATCCTCATCCCTGCAATGACTTTCACTACAATAATATATAAAAAAAAACGAATAGATCTCTTTTCGACTCTCTCTCTCGATGGACTCATTCACACGGCCCATCATTCACATTCCATCCTCAAACAGGTCCACACCATGCCGAGTTAAGATACATTTTTGGATTAATTGTTGAGCTAGTTGAGAGCCATCTGTTTTTGATGCAATGCTGGAACCTTTAAATTATGCTAAATTGCAAAGAATTCAAAATACAATTATGGCTTAAAATTTGAAGGAAGGAATCACAATAAATCTCCCCAAAACATCTTGATAATAAAAGCACAATTTAGTTTGTTTGGCTTATGTTTTCTCTGTGTAAGCTCCTGGCAGTAGTTTTCTCCAATCTCCTAATTAATTAGTTTTCACTGTCTAATTTCCTCATACCCTCTAGCCACATGCTCTAAAATTAAAATGGATTTAACAAGGATTTACTTGTATATTAACACATTTTGGTGCATGAGGGACGAGAGCAAGCCATTATTTACCAGTCTGTTGCTTAAATAGTTGAATAGTGTGAGTTGAAATGAAAAGGCAAAATAATCAATCTGTAAATAATAAAATAATTAATATTAGCATTGTTGTGTTCCAACATGTAACATTTATTTCCAACATTTATGTTGGCCATTTCATGCATTTTGTTATCTATCACTGATTACTCCATTTATGTTGATAATATCCACAAATTACATGGTTCACAAAAACATTTATTTGATTAGAAAATATAGTTTTATAATTACAACTATTTAAGCAGAATAATAGTGGAATCACATACTTGTAATCTTCACCATTATGCAGACATTATTACTCACATTCCACAGATAGATATATATATTATTATTATTATTTTTTTTTGTTCTTTTTTTGCATCAAGAAATTATAGTTTCATCTTTGGTAAATACAACTGTATCATTATGCTTATTTTATTTTCTGTAGTTTGATACTTTCTTTTATCCATCCACATTAAAGGGACATGCATCACTTTAAGACAACTGTCACATTTGAAAGCTTTAGCTCTGAATGAGTGAATGAGACAGTCACCTCACTCTACAGGCTGGAAAAAGCAGGTCATTTTTTTTTTCATATTTAATTGCTTCTTCTTCCTTATGCTTTTCATATCGGGGGACTCTGGTCTAACCAATCAGTGTCCTATCCCTAGGAATCCTTGAAAAGTGCATTAGGCATGCCTGACAGATTTACACATGTGCAGTTAGAAGATGTGTTCACCTTGCATCATTTGACAGGGGGAGATGAGAGGGAGTCTGATCAGTGTTGCCATGCAGAAAAGGTTCCTGTGTCAGGTGTCTCTCTCCTGCTGCTACACAGTTATGCCCTGTTTCTGTTATTCGTCGACTGGTCTAAAACTGAGATGTGTTAGTAAGAGGGGAAGAGAGGCGAAAGAAACTCCTCTAGCTGAGAGGCATGCCCAACAATGTAATTGGACCAAGTTGACAGTGAGCTTCTAAACATTTATACTTGTCAAAGTCTTTCCTAATTTTTTTTGGTTTGTATATTTGTTTAAACGTGTTTGCTTGCTGGTTTTAAAAGAAATATTGTCAAGTAGTGCCCTTTGCCAGACAGCTAATCATTTATTAGATAAAGGTAGCAATAGCCTAAATAGGAGACATAGGAGGCAAAAAATATCCCAATTAATTTGTCTGAAACAAAAAATAGTTCCCGTCAATTTGGGTTTCGTTCTTGTGGTATTCCGGTTCGGATAAATTTTAGTCCATGCATCCATTCTTGTGGTATTCTTGTGGCACCCATATACTAAAATAAGACTAAGACAATAAGGTTAAACAAAAACACAGAGGAATTTGTAATTTTATCAAACTCTTTCATCCAAATACACTGTCTTTGAAAGTATGTATATATAAAAATAAATACCAAGCGTGTCCTACATTTCCCAGACTATGAAATATCAGTAAGAGCACTCTGATTAGTTGGCTAGATAGTTGGATAGCTAAAGATGCAAAGCATTGGAAATTTTCCCACTCTGTGTTATAGCTGACATAGGGTGGGAATTAAAATATAAGAGGGCTTTCCCCGCTATCAGAAGAGCTCAGTCTGCACAGTGCACTTCATGGGTGTGCAAATCTATTTATTTTATTTTAATTAATTGCATTATTCTGGATTTTAATTAGTCCTTTTTTGAAGCTAATAATAATAAGTGTTATAAGAAAGAAGCCATCACATGTATATTGATATATAATCTAATAACTGTAAAATAATACATTATTATATTATTATATATATTTATTATACCATCCTCACAATTATTAGGGTCAGGGGGCAGGTAGAGTCATTCATTTTTAGTGGGGAGTGGCTAGGAGATTTGGGACAGTCTAAGGTACTCAGAAATACACATTGACAATTAGACTTGTGCATGGTGAGAAAATAGAACATTTTTCGGGACATCCGAATTTCAGCCAATTACAGGCTCAACTTGGCGGCATTTTGGAACCGATTCGGAAACGGAATTAGAAGAACAAAATTAAGCTCAAAATTAGGGCAATCAGTTTGTTGCTAAATACATTTATAAACGTAATATTACGTATTTATATTGCAGTACACCGATAGTAACATTTTCCGGCCATTTGGTTCACAGATGAATTGAGAAAAAATAACCAGTTTATAAAATACATAATACATACATGTATAACTATAGATTTTTAAACTACTCCTTATTTTTTCCTCTATTGCTCACTTGTTCTTTGAATAAAATCAACATTTAGTGATTGTCTCCTAACTATTAAGCATCAGGCTTTTTCCATCAATCATCTTTTTCTTTGACACGAGGGGTGGAATTCAGAACCTGTCTGGTCTGTGTTTCCTGGTACATTTCGACTTAGAGTTCAGCGATTCGGTTGCTCACCCGAATAGCCTTGAATTGTTCAAACTGCAGTTTGGACTGAAATGACTATCCAGTTCTACAGACAATTGCCCACACTAACACGTACACACTCTTTCACTGAAGGCTTACATTTAGTTAGATGAGCCTAGGACTGCGGGAGATTGAACTGGTAGCTGGGCCTGCGTGCAGCCTGTCACTGGGGCATAAGCACACTGGCAGTATACCTTAAACATATAAGGTTAACTTTGCCAGAAGCTTTTTTTTGTGATTGTTCTCTTAAAAGGAGGCGCTCAAGTGTTGGAGGTACAAGAGACACACTGACCCCTAAACACTTCATCTTACCTAATAGCTTTATGTGTGGAAAGTGTGTCACTTTGTGCACCCACCCAGGATCGGCTATGGTAGGAGTTCTCTGTGAAAGCGTTAAATCACACAGCCACAGCACGTTTTGCACTAATATAAATTAACCTTGTTACTCCCCTGGCTGTCAATCAGGCAATCAGTCCTGTTACTTCCTGGTTTGTTTAGCTCAGTGGAGCTAAACTCAAGAGGCAGCAATTGCCCAGAAATCATGCCTTACAAAGACTTCTCATTGAGCTGCATTGGGAGTCTGTGATTGGACAGCCACAGAAAGTCTGGATAGGGTTAGAAGGGGAGGATTTGCAGAAGCTGCAGACAAGAGATCTGCAGATTTGGTAAGCTGTACATACATGCATGTTTTATTTGTGGATATATCTGCCAAACATTGATTTTATTTATTTTTGTATTGTGAGAGTGGAGTGTCTCACTAACTAGTATTTTTATCTGAAGAAATATCGGTATTCGTTCAAAATCACTATAACTGGAAGCTATTAAAAACACCCTTGCTCTCCCAATGACTAATTTTCAAATAATTAAAAAATATGATAGAGATATTTTAATGGACCATTTCTTGTCGATATAATTTAGTACACCAACTCGTGTCCACTGAGTGGATAAATGTGTACAGGTCTACAAGAAAAGAACATACTATATATACAGTATTTTGCTCCTTATGAACTCTGGGAATTCAGTTAATTGTATTGCATAGTGTTCCTCTTTCTGAAAGTAACGTGAACATTCTAGGTACTGTTGCTGACTTAAATAAAACATCTAATAAATCTTTGTTCCTTTCTTTCTTCATTCTACATCACTCACTTGTCGAAGTCATCATTAAAGAATATGTTGGATGTCCTTAAATTCCGCCTCACATTGTATTTACAGGAACAACTCATTTCAGAACTCATTTGTCGAGATGCTTGTTTGCTACACTCAGAATGTTTGTATAAAATATATTATTCTTGCCATCCTTGCTCAACTAATTCTTAATTTGTTTCCCCTTCTATCTTCAAGACAAGTGCTTTAGTCACTGCCTTTATGAGATTTTAATTCAATAAATCCCTTTTTACAGGG